TCCCTCATATGTGCCTTACCTTAAAGCCCATCCGAATAATTTAGTCCATTTACTTGTTCTTGGTTAGCCCATCAATAGCCCAATCACCAAAGCCCAATAGAAAGGCCCAACTCAGGGCCCAAGTGAAATTAGGGTTTTCACATGAAATGATGATTAGGGTTAAGTGTTCTTACTTAGCCCATTAAGGACTTAATCCATTAAGTCCAATATTGCCTTAGGTTAATTGCAAATGATTATTAATTAACATTTTCAGTCTAATAAATAATTCCAATGCGGGTCCCGATAAATCCCCAAAATTAGGGTTTCATGGCATTAGGGTTTTCCAAATTCTAATTAGGATTTCCAACCAAAATACTCGCCTATTAGTCAAATGGTTAGGCTTTTAGGTCAATTAGGGCTTCATTAGGTCCATTAGGGTTAAACAAGTCGGGCACCACCCATTGCCACCTCGGGTAGTGGCGGTCAACGACGGCTCATGGCGGCGACTACCACCTCATGATGGTGGTTATGGTTATAGTCCTATACTTACTAAACACCCCTTGTCTTCTAAAAATCTTTACAAAATAAATCGCGGAACTAACGCCTTTAACCCCCAACTTCTAAAATATGTCTAAATTAACTCCTCGAAACCAACACCTTTCTATATAACTATTGATTTTAGGGCTAATATTCTTTCATTATTTTATTTATTTATTTATTTAATAAATAGGATGTTACATTAGGGTTCGGGTATTGAGCTATATATTGGGCTTTGATACTTGGGCCCTATTAGACTATCTGGATAAGTGTGTTTTGGGTCAATTAGGGGATCAAACCTTTGGATGAGGTCCAATAAGGGGTTTGGGCCCAATTTGGAATATTAGGCTAATCATTGGCCTTGAAGTAAGTTAGGCTCTATGGATCAAAGAATTGTATTAGGGCCTTAGCCAGTTAAGGAAGGGGTAAAGTGGACATTTAACCTAGGTATGGATCCTTAATCAAGAATGATATCCTAATTGCTAATTGGGTGTTTGTTTATTGTTATATTTTGGGATTTTTTTTGAGTCAGCAGTCGGAGGTTTCAGTGCAGTTCGACATTGTAAGGTAAGTCTTCCTCACTATACTTTCAGGTAAAAGGAACCAAGGCCGACCCATTGGTTTGATAATCTGACATTGTGATATGTTAAGTACGGTATAGATATGCATGCTAGTCCTAATATGTTAGTTTGGTAGATCTGTAAGACTACCTATGAAATTGCCTATTTATCTGTATATGATATTATCTGTTATATGTCGACATATTGTGTGGCTGGGTTGAAGTAGTATTACTTTGTACTATAGCCAACAAACCCCAAAGTATGCTAAATATGAGTTGAGGGCCAGGGAGGGCATGCCATACTCATACTGAGGACTCATGAACATTCCAAATACGAGCCGAGGGTCGGTCAGGGCATGCCAAACTCGTAATGAAGGCTTAGCGGAATTCAGTCTGTTGTCTAATCAGGCTGGGGAGCAAGCTAGTCATAAGTTGTGGGCCTTTGGGGCAAGCCAGACTTATGTTGTGGGCGCAGGGGTAATCTAGCCTATAAAACTATGGACCCATTACGTGATGTTATTATATTTGTTTTATTTGTTATGTATCGGTATTTTGGGGGGACTCACTAAGCTTTGGGCGTACAGTTTTGGATTATGTTCTAGGTATCTTAGAGGATTGCAGGAAGGCAAATGCATGATCTTGGACCTCCTCATGTCCTGTTTTACGATTTTGGGATTTCTCTGATGTGGATCTTATTTTGAAAACAATTTGTAATCACTGATGGCTTTGTGGTTGTTTAAAAAGTTTAAAATTTTCAAGATTTTTTGGAGTGTTACAATCATAGAGAATAGAACTTTAAATCAATTGCAAACTCATTCATGAAATGGTAACATGAGTAAATGGGGTCGTAGGCAGTAATTGATCCCATGATTATTTATAATATGATATTAAAGGAGTGAGGGCCAACATTTTAAATACATGATGAAGTGAGGAACCATGAAAGAATATAGTTGTGAAAACCATTTAAACTAAAAAAGAAATAACAAGCAAACACAAAAGAGGTTAAACAATTTCTAATTTTGGTGTAATACGGATAAAGAAATAAGGAGATCAAGATGTTGATTCGTTATGTGAATGATGATTTGGTGTGTCTTTCAATAAGTGACCCAATAAGGAATAAGAACTATGTGAAGATCATGTCTAGATTAGATATGTTCAAGATAGTGCCTTGCTAGTGTTGGCACTAGTATGGTGTATAAAATACTTCTTATCAACTGGGATAGACTCTCTAGCAAGAGATATAATGTGCTTGGGATGTTTGATAGGATTCGGAAAAGTTGATAATTTGTGGTACAACCTTGATGTATAGATGAACAATTCATATGAATACAAGTAAGAAACTCTGTTATAAGATAGTTTGGTACAACTTTGTTACAGATATGAGCAACTTGTGCATCATATGTGACATTAAACTTATGGTAACGTTTTTAGTTCATAGGAGATAAAAAAATTTGGGATATGATTATGTGATCAGTACAACCTTGCTGAATTGCATGGCAAACTGTACGATAATTGGACATGGGGAAAGTACTTGATTTTGGTATGGCCTTGCGAGGAATGTATACATGCTATTTTGATTATAAATTTCGCCTATTAATGTGAGAATGAAGTACACAAAAAGGGTGACTATAGAAAAATGATCATGGTATAGCTTGCATATGATGCAAATAGATTGATTGATACTCTGGCCAGGGATTATGATGTTTGAACGCCCATGAAAATTGGGTTTTGAAATCTTGACAACATTTTGATTTCACAGAGGTTTATATTAATGTAGTATAAGCTCATCAATAGGAGTATAATGATTAGCCTAAATTTGATAAGTTTGTATGAATATTTTTTCACACAAACAAACAATCTTACATGTAAAACACATCACATGATATGTTTTTCGCAACTGAGACGTATACGTAAGGATTGCATTGAAACACTGAAAAAATGTTTATATTTGCAAAACATATTACAATTACGTTTAACCAAGCATTTCTTTGTAGCTCAAAGATAAATTTATGGTATTTATTCCTAGCTGTGGAATGAAGAAAGAAACCAGCGCATAAAATGACATTAAAACAAATTAAATGTTTTTACAAAATCATCCGTGACTAATCATAACTAAGAGAGCTTGTTACAATTATTTCATACCCACGCATAATTATGTCAATCTATATGGGTTTAAACTCAATGCCTTCGACAATAAGCCCTACAAGTGAGCTTTTATCGAAAACAGTCAACTGAAGATTCTCCAAAATCCATCCACGACTATCGGTTTGAAATTCCCATACTTGTACTTCCATCCAACCATCGTTTCTCAATCGTGGAAGGCCTTCCATTTTGGGTCTATTCAACGGGTTGTGGGTGTTTTGATAATTCATTGGTCTAAGAATTAGGGTTTGAGGACCAACTAAATAGGTATATCTTGAATGATGTGGATATCCATATCGACGACTAATATGCACTTTCACAGAAAGCCAAGGAGCAGAACATTTTTCTTGTACTTTGTAAACAAGGAAACTTCCATATTTTGTTTGAGGTGATAGAATATTCGAATTGCAGATTATCCGAAAGCCACTTTTCCAAATCTGCATAAAGACATTCCATTTAATGTAAATGCAGAAAAAGGGGACGATTTGAAAAGTTGTTGAATTTTTCTTAAAATAGTGAAATCTACTATAATAAATGAAGGTTTTTTTGCCACATATCCCTTCTCATTCATTTGGACACATGACATTTTCTAGAATTTTTAAATTTTCTATTTTCCACTTGTTATTTTATTGTATTTTTCATTTAATTAAATTAAAATTCCACATTTGATGTGTATGGTAATTAATATATATATATATATATATATATATATATATATATATATATATATATATATATATATATATATATATATTATTTATTAGAAAAAGTTTATATATGTAATCTATTCAATACATTAAAGTCTCTTAATTTTAATAATTCAAATTTTTCTTATTTTTCTTATAAATTCAAACTTTTCAAATTGTTAAAATTTTATATTTTTTTAATTAAACCCATGTAATACATGGGTCTCACACCTAGTTAAAACAATATACGTGTGCATTACCCAAAAATCTTTCGACGCATATGGATAAACAAAATAAAGAGAAGAAAACCTTGATTCGGGTAAAGACTGCCATCTCCACTCTGCTTTTTGCAAAGCCTCTTCTGCTCGTAACATATGACATTTCCTCCCATTTTTGGCAAGAGAAAACCACTGTCAATCAAAAGATGAGTAAACACTGTTTAATTATTTGGTAGAACCATGTTCATATGCTGCACGACAACCACATTGACATTAATCATTCAAATATAAAATACCTTTTTACCATCCTTTATTGGGAATCCTTTCACAAGAATATAGTAGAGTTCCTTGTTTGTTTCCCATTGCTGACTTCCTTTTGACCACTTGATTATGTCTTCATAATCACTTGGCAATTTATGTGTCCAGTATGTGTCTGAATCGGATACAGTTGGTATATCCACCTCCTCATCCTCTAACAATTGATGCTCCACCTATAAAACTTGTACATTAAATTTCGATCGATTCTGGAAGAATACTCATTCTCCAAATATGTACTATAGAAAAAGATTCCTTATAAAGGAGGAGACCAATGGGATTCTCATACGATGAAATGTTTGAGACTCTAAAAACAACATAAGCCAAATGATATAAATGAATAAATGGGTATTTATCAACTTACACTCTCCAGGGGTTGAAATTCAATGCCTTCTACTGCAATTTCTTGGGCATTCAAAAGTAATTTCAAGATCAACATTTCTTGTATCACTTGTAAACTGATACAATTCTGCCATCAACCAACCATCCTCTCTCTTATCTGAAAAGTATGAAGTCGAAGATTGTGTCTGCCCATCCAATTTGTAAGTGAAGCCCAAGTTGTCCTTAGTTGAGTCGTCGAGACTGAATACAAGGTTTATAGTGTAGGTGATATGTGGTGACAAAAATTGTGTGTTGACATGTGTTCTGAATTCCAAACAAAACGGTGCATAGTATTCCACTGCAAATATGCACGTAGGTGAAGCAAAGGGTATAGTACATTACTATATACTCATTAAATAGTCTTAAAAAACTAGAAAAAGAGGAGGACAAGTAACCTTGATTTCTTTCGACAATAATCCTCGGGGGATGCTGGGTCAATAGGAATCAAACTTCCTATTGGCGATATCATTTCACAATTTTCTCCGTTCTTGTTTAACCAAAACCACTGACCATTAATAGTGCGTAAGTTAGTTGGGCCGATGTATTATATATTGTCAACATTTAAAAGTAGAGGGAAATCACATACTTGTATGTGTGTTTTGCTTTGTGTAGAGATGGGTGAAGATGTTAACTAAGAGTAAATTAGATTTCGGTTGAATAAAAGTTACAAAGATCTATCTCTAGTAGGAAGCATGTGGGTTAATTAAAATGTAAATTCTAATGCTATCTAATGTCTATCGCTAATATTTTTAACAATGATGCTACAAAATGATTTCGTTGCTGGTTATGAACTCCCTAATTGAAAATATACACTTTGCTAGCATGGGTTTTTATCATGTGAAATTTCTTAAATTTCATATATCTAAATTTATCATTCATACCAAAAAATATAAATTGGCACGGTTTATAGCTAGAAATAGCTAATTACCGTTTTCCCCTCATTAACGAGGATTCCTTTGGAGAGAAGCATAGTTAGTTCCTCACTGGAACTGTAGATCAGAGGTGGTACCGCGTTCTTACTAATCTCTTCATAGTCCATTTGAGGTTCGGCCTCTTCAGAAATCACCTGAAACCGAACCGCAATCTCAAGTTTTTCCACAACCTCAGACATCTTTGGTCGATCTTCACCAGATTTGTGCAAACAGCGATAGGCAACGTCTGAAAGTGTTTCCAATGAGCTCGGATCCATGTGTCGCTTTAGATCATGAAATATAATCTCATCTAATTTCATATCTTCATAGCTTTGTTTCCACGTTTGCACTAAACTTTGTAAATGACCATTTTGATTTTCAAAGCATAGTTTCCCACACAATACTTCAAACAACACAACACCAAAAGAATATACGTCTGACTCTTTTGTTAGGATGCTCTTCTCCGCATACATCGGATCTATATACCCAAAGGTACCTGCAACGTTGGTGGCAAGAAAGGTATGTTGCTGATTAGCAGGTCCTATTTTCGATAGCCCCAAGTCAGAGACTTTAGCATTCCAATCCTCATCTAGTAGAATATTGGAGCTTTTTATATCACGGTGGATAACTCTTTGTTGGGTCTCTTTAGGATCATGAAGATAGCACAAGCCCATTGCAGCCCCAAGGCATATATTTAGGCGTTGCCTCCAAGTGAGAGTAGTGATTCTTAAGTGGCGATCGAGGCTTCCATGAGATGCATGCTCATACACAAGGATCTTCTCACCATCTTCATCACAAAATCCCACTAGAGAGATGAGATTTTGATGTGTGTAACATGAAAGCATTAGGATCTCTTTCAAGAACTCAGAGTCTCCTTGCCCATAGTTACGATCTAGACGCTTAAAAGCAACCGTGGTTTGCCCTGTAGAGTGAGAGAGGACTCCTTTGTATACCTTCCCAAATCCACCTTTTCCGATAATATTGTTGTTATCAAAGTTTCTGGTAGCCGACTTTATTGCCTCTAGTCGGATTTTGAGATATTGAAACTCTTCCAAGAAGGCCTCCATTGTTTGTTGGTCAAATGGTAATTGATAATTGGAAAATTTAATGAAGTGTTGCTATAAATAACATCGGAACAGGAAAGTCGTGAAATCTGACAGTTTCCTACTTAAACCTTTTTCTTCCTTTCTTCATTTATACATAATTTGGAAATTGACTTTTCATTTTACCTAATCTATTTAACTAATAGTTTGTAATTCCACTTGTTATTATTTTTATTATTTTTTATTTTTTATTTTGTACCTTATCTCGTCAATGTATTAACTTAATTTATTAGATATATATAACAAAGGATATGTATTGTATATCTTGAACAATTTAGATCATTAAAAAGATGTCGCCAGTACTCCAACAATCATACCACTATTATATATAATTGATACTTACATAACTAATTATTTTGTGGTCATATCTAATAAGCCAATTATTTATAAAAATCATCAAGTCGAAAAAATGTGTTAATTCGCAAACCCAAGCAACCCTTGAAAGAAGAGCATAAGATGAGTTAGCCATTGAAAGAAAAGCATATAATGAGTTTTGCTGGCCTTCTCATGCTGAGTTGGATATATCAATCCAGAAGAATTATTCAAAAGAGCGTCTTTTCTATTAATTTGACATTTAGCATTTTTGGAGTTAACATGTTGAAGAGTCAATACTAACCTACCTACTATTCTAGGACTCGTTCTTTGTGTAAATACATACATGATGGATAGTTTTCCAAAATATCTTTAAGCTATTCAGTTTTATAACTAATTTTTAGAGCCAGGCACCTGTAAGTTGTTTTATTTGTTAAGTGATGACTACCAAATGTTGCAACTAATCTTAAACTTTGAGTAAACTAGAATGTATGAACATGAGCAATTTTGACCCTCAGATTCCAAACCATTCAGATCAAATTGTGATCACAAAAATCAAAACATCTTGCTAGTTATAATGCCAATATAAACTTTGAAACTTTTATTATTTTCCTCTATATTTCACAGGGTTCATTTTTTGGACGCCAAATTGAAGTAGAATCACAGGTAAATGTAGATTCAGGGAGAAAAGTAGTTTAATTTAGATGCATACCACAATTTCACTGTTAAATGTAGATATATGGAGAACAATTGTTTAGTTCAAATATCCATCTTACCAAGGGCCAAGGGGAGAACCTTATGTACATGATTTACATCAGGAGGGGTAATGGCATAGACACATGCATATTGGTAGCAATATTGGACTGCATCATTCTACAATTCTGCTCAACGTTGTCAAAATTGACCTCTATCTAGAGCTTTAATATTGTGAAACAGTTTTTAGGATATCGTTGATGTCACACTTTGGCAGAAATGTAGAAAACAAAAATAGGGTTTAACCGGAACAAGATGATTCCTGGTTCTAAACTTTATTTCATCAATCAAGAGATTGAATACACCAATTTGAATAAGGAGATAAAATAGGAAACTGGGAACATAAAATAGGATAAGATAAATGTATCATCCGGATTCCCAGGTATCTCATTTTAAGTATTTTTATTGAATATTAGAGAGGGACTCGGCGAGTAGGCGCTCAGACTCGTCGAGTGGGATCGTGCATGTGTTGGTCTCATTTAATGGAGGACTCGGCGATTCCATACGTGGACTCGACAAGTCCACGATGTTTAATGAAACCCTAATTTCTCTGGTTTGGGGCCTATTTAAGGACCCTTATAGCCAACATTTGTGGCTACCAGACCATTGAGAGAAATCGTTATAGTGCTTGAGCGTTTGTTAGAGATAAGAAGCCATTATTGGACCTTTGTGGGTTTGTTTTGCAAGAAGAAGTTGATTCCAGCTTAGAGGAGGCCAAGGAGGTTGCTTATTTGTGGATTGCAAGCAAAGGACATGATCCTTGAGGTAGCATATCGATCCTTTTTCTGTTTTGTTAAAGAATCTATGGATCTAGGGTTTTCTATACCCTTTATTGAGTTGATTTGTTAGGAGTATGGTCCCTTATCATGTTTAGACATCAGATCTGGATCCATAGTGGTCCAGAGAACCTATTCCATCTTGCTTTATGAGGAGTTATGGAAGAAATAGACTTAGGATGTTCTATTTTAGGGCTAAATCATCAAGTAGTGTCATTCGGATGTTGCATGAGCATCAAGTTCGAACCTTTACATGATTATTGAGCTTGGGAAGATTAGATCTATGGATTAGAGGAACAAATTTGACCTCAAAAGGTCATTTGAGTGTGAGCATGGAACGAACTCACCGAGTCCATGAGCAGACTCGACGAGTCGAGTCGGGGTTGCCCCTCGATTCGTGACCACTTGACGAGCCAAGAGAGTCTAAAAGGATTGAAAGGACTTGCATGGACTTGCCGAGTCACCTTTGTGCACTCGACGAGTCGGGTCAAAGTTGACCGTTGACTTTCGTTGACTTTAGGGTTCTGGTCAGGACTGATACAGGAGAGTTTAGGGAAGGGTAGAATGGCCTTCTACCTAGTCTATAGAGATGAGATCATGGGAGAGTATTGATCGGGAATGTTGTTTTAATAATAAGAGGAGGCTAGGTCAGGATGTTGAGCACGAGAGTTTATCCGACTTGATTGAGGTGAGTCTTCTCACTATGCCATACCCGATGGGGTAATTATGTGTGACCGGAAGGTCTTATTTGTATGATGAAAATGTGATGTATGTTGTATATGTAATATGTTATGATATGAGTATGTTGATATGGACCGGAAGGTCAACAGAGCATGGACGTCCGGAAGGTTAACAGAGTTATGGGATGGAAATCTCCTGAAACACTTGGATCGGAAGATCCCATAGAGCTATGGCCTGGAAAGGCGTATGTGCTGTACGTGGTATTTTGGGGAACTCACTAAGCATTATTGCTTACCGTTTGCGTGTTATGTGTTTCAGGTACCAGTGATGATCACGGGAAGGCGCCGACATGATCAGTACACACTTATGATGGAGTTGTTTGGAGATTCTGGGATTTTGATTTGCACTTATGTTATGTAAAAACAATTGATACATGTTTTCGAGAATTATGAGTGGAGTATTTTTATTAATTTAAAAGGAAAAATTGTTTTGAAAATTCCAGTTTTACAAGTTGGTATCAGAGCCTTGGTTTGAGGGATTCAGATTCACTTTCGGGTGTATTTGAACTCAAACTGAAGATTTGAGAAACATTTTCATAAAAGAAACAATTTTTCCAAAAAATTAAAAGAATTTGTGGAAAGCAGAAAGAAGTAGTGTGTACGATCAGCTAGCGCCCGAACGGTGATTTCCCAAAATACCCTTACATTATGTGTTATGAGATATGATATGATATGATATGTTATGCATGCTAGAGTAGGCTAGGTATTCATGTTAGGACTAGAGTGGCCTGATTTGTGATGCCTTAGCCTAGGAGATTTCTGCTGCTAAGAGATGCTTGAGAGCGAGTAGGTAACAGTGAGGAGCTTATGAGAGGCTTACCGAAGGGTAGCCTATGCTAGCGAGATCTAATTTGTGAGCTGGGATCCTAGGAGGAGGACATGGGGTGAATGTTGATGAAGTGTGGGCAGTAGTATTGGGCCCGTACTACCGATGACACCGGATTAGTGCGTAGTCCAAGTAAGAATCCTTAGGGTACTAGGGAGCAAGTAGGGTTGAGTTATCGAGTGCGAGTATACTTGAGCGAGTCTCTGATATTTTTATGTTGTATTTCAGAGACATTATGGTTAGGACACGCCACAGACTGGGGACAAGCGATGAGGAGCTCCGCCAGATGATTCATGATGAGGTGGCTGCGACCATCCGAGCTGAGATACCAGAGATGTTCAGGTCTATCAACACCACGCTGATTGAGATCTTTGATGAGCGGTACGCCGCTCTTACTGATGTTATTGTTGCCGCGTCCACCGCAGCCGTCACTGCTTCCAGGCCGCAAGGGGGTGACTCGTTGCTGTATCGAGAGTTTAGCAACACGAAGCCACCAGAGTTTGATGGGATGCAGGATCCGATTGTTGCAATGAAATGGATATATGATATTGAGGGATGCTTCTACACCAGATGATTCATGATGAGGTGGATGCGGCCATCCGAGCTAAGATACCAGAGATGTTTGGGTCTATCAAGACCACGTTGATTAAGACCTTTGATGAGCGGTACGCCGCTCTTACTGACGCTGCTGTTGCCACGGCCACCGCAGCCGTCACTGCTGTCAGGCCATAAGGGGGTGACTCATTGTTGTATCTGGAGTTCAGCAACACGAAGCCACCAGAGTTTGATGCGACACAGGATCCGATTACTGCAATGAGATGGATATCTGATATTGAGGGATACTTCTACACCTGTTCGTGTCCAGAGGAACTGAGGGTTTGGTTTGCACTGAACCAGCTTCGCTTGGGAGCGAAGGACTGGTGGAAATATGTGACGACGCATCTTACTTCTGCGGAGATCTCTGCGGTGACCTAGGAGAGGTTCACCACTATGTTCAGAGAAGAGTACGTTCCCCCAGTGGAAAAGGAACGGTTGGACTAGGATTTCTTGACCCTCAAGAAGGATACTGAGTTAGTGATTGTGATCACTATGAAGTTTCATGAGAGGGCAATGTTTAGCCCTAAGCATGTGTCATCTGAGAAGGCGTGCATGAGCCGGTATCTAAGCATTCTGAGGAGGGACATTCGGGAGTTCGTTTCGAACTCGACTTATTAGACATTTGTTGAGCTTCAGGAAAATGCCCGGAAGAGGGAGATTAAGTTGGAGACTCAGGCCAGGGTTGAGGCCGAGTCATAGGGGTTGGATAGGCGGCCGACACAGTCTCAGCCAGCAGCCAAGTGGGAAAAGCCCACCGATTCAAGAGCAGGAGGCCAGAAGGGCCGCACTTGCGGGAAGTGCGGCAAGGGAGACGATGGAGTTTGTCGATCTGGTACTTGCTACAAATGTGGCAAGGAGGGGCATATAACCAAGGACTGCCCCAAGGGATTCATGGTTTGCTTTCATTGCAACCAGACGTGCCATCGAAAGGTCGAGTGTCCGCAGCTGCGGGGGACAGCA